GGTTTTTAAAAAAAAAATTTTTTTTTTAAATTTTTTAGACAAACACACATACAAACATACAATGTATTTTTTTCTCTGAACAGAGTATTTGGCTGGTTCAGAAATATAAACAGTGTTTAGTCATTTCAATTAAATTTACATTTCTATATTTCCTTTTTGCCATATTTATTCCACATCTATTTTTTTTAAAAAAACAATTATTACCCTTCATCCTCATCTCTAATCTTAATCAAATTCAATTTTTCTCTTCTCTTCTATATTATACCCCTTCCCATTGTTATCTATTTTTATATTCATCCTCACATTGGTTAATTATGTAATATTACAATTGTTTAATACAAATTCAACATTTTAATATAAATTAGTTATATATATCTTTTTTTTGTATATTAATCAATATGAACATAAATATTCCAATTTTCATGCAATCCAATTTCTTACAAATCAATTAATTATATTTACCAATAATAATAAACCATATAATTTTCCCCTCTTATGTTACTCATTTTCACATTTTAAACTCTCCCAATAACCCAAATAGTTTTGCCCATATAATCTTCCAAACCACAACTTAATCATTTCTACTTTCATCACAATATATAAATAAAAATATTTCAATCATTACAATTTCCCTAATTAAAGTTAAAAATGTTCTAGCTGTTATCCAAGCTATAATTTAATCCTTTTTACTTTCACCACCATATACCATTAAAGGTATTTCAATTGTTCCAGTTTATACTTATTCATATTTGTAAAAAAAAATATAAAAATAAAAACTTATCATTGTCTAGATTTCAAAAATACAAAGACAAATATTCCAATTATTATTCATTTCATTTTTACAATCATGATTTCCCATTTATTTCTTACTACTATTCATATTTCAATTCTAAATATGTATAACATTTTTCTCTTTCATTTCTTTTTCTTTTTCTCCCTTCCCATTTTTATTTTTGCCTTTTTCATTCTTTTTTTCTTTTGTGTTTAAAATCTTGAACTCTCCTCTTTTGCCCTAAATTGTTTGCACCTACCTATTTAGTGAGGAAAAAGAAGAAAAAGAAATCTCCCTCTGCCTAATTTTGCCTCGTTGCAGCAAACAGCCTGCTTTACTTTCAGTTTCGTTTTCCGCATAGCTTGATTAGCACAAGGGGGGGGAAATCTGCTCCAGCACTCTTTGCAGCAAACAGCAGAGCCCTGCACAAAACAGCTGAGAGCAGATCAGCTGAGAGTTGGGAGGCCAATCTAATCAACTTGTGCTAATTAGCCTGTGCTGAAGCTGAAAGGAGCTGTTTTTTCTTGCTGTTTGCTTGCAAGGAGGTAACTGCTGCGAGGCACAGGCCAAAGGGTGGGGGCCAGTGGGTGGGTAGGGCTACATTCGGTGTATAAGACGCACCTGAATTTTCACCCCCTTTTTGGGGGTAAAAAGGTGCGTCTTATACTCCGAAAAATATGGTATACATTTCTTTGCTTTTGCTTCATTACATTAGAGGCAGTTGGGACATGACAGATAAGAGATAGAAATATAAAAATTATAAAAATAGTCAAGCATGCCTTCTGTAGTTTTGGTCACATGTGTTTTCCTGTGAAAGTTTCTATGGCTTCAGAAGCCTGTTGAGGTCTGAACTTCAGCCTTGCCATTTCAACATGTGAGCAGTCATCAGATTGCTGATTAACATTAGCATAGAAAGTTTGACTGTAACTATTTTGAGATGCTTTTCAGGGTTGAAAGACATAGGTTTTCTCCATATTGCAGGCATGTGTATTTTTATTTCTTTGAGTGTATATATCTGCAAATGTATAATCCATCCCCAGGACTTCCAGATATACAGTCATGTGAAAAAGAAAGTACACTCTCCTTGACTTCTATGATTTTATATATCAGGACGTAGTAAAAATCAGTTGGTCCTTAGAAGTTCTTAAAAGTAGGTAAATACAACCACAGATGAACAACAACACATGACATTTTACATCAGGTCATCATTTATTTTATAAAAAGAAAGCCAAAACGGAAAAATCATGTGTAAAAAAATTGTATGATTCAATCATTTGTAGAACCACCTTTAGCAGCAACAACTAGAAGTAATTCTTTTCTGTATGACTATCAATCTCTTGCAGTGTTGTGGAAGAATTTTGACCCTCTCTTCTTTACAACATTGCTTCAGTTCATTGAGGTTTGTGGGTGTTTTTTTATGCACAACTCTCTTGAAGTCCCGCCAGTCGGGTTGAGGTCTGGACTTTGTATTTGAAAACAACCCTTTGCACTGCTAAGAATTTGTGATTGACCCAGTCAACTAGTGAATTTCATCATTGAATGGATATTCGAACTTGGATCTGAGTAGTCTTCCATGTGTTAAATGAATCACGATTAATGTAAGAACTTATTTGAGCATTGGGGCATGTTTGCTTTTTCATTGTAATGTAACCCTTTTTCTTTTTTTTCTCATCTGCTGCAACAATTTCATGCACAATTAAAGATACATTTTTATTTGAATCTTATAGACAAAGAAGATGTCATAAAAGAAGATGGCAATGAGCACTCTGGACAACTGAGGATAACAAGCAACATTGAAGACCAAAGCAAGTCACTCCAGGAATCAAAATATTTTCCATTTTCTTCAGACAGCTACACAATTCTTCACCTTCCTCGGCAGGTGAGAGAAAAACGAGAGAAAATGAAGAAGAGATTTCTAACTGGGAAAAATAGAGTGTGAAATTCAAGCATACATTACATGAAAAGTCAAAGGAGATTATTCTTCCATTGAGCAAAAAAAGGAAATATCTGGTAGTCAGTGGGGGGAAAACATCATTTGGAAAGGTATGTAGAGCAGACAGTGTTGCAGGCTTCACTCTGGGAGGAAGAAAACGGCTTGAATTAAAGCTTCAGTAAATAAGGGATCATTGATATTTTAGACCTCCTCAAGAACATTAGTTGTGGAAAAGCTCCATAGACATGCCTATTGTGGGAAAGATACAACTTGCAAATCACAGTTGATTATACCAGAGAGGATCCCGACTGGAGAAAAACCATACAAATACTCTGAATGTGGCAAAACCTTTTGTCAGAACAACGCCATTGTGGTCCATGGAAGAACTCACACAGGAGAGAAACCCTACAAGGGCTCCCAATGTGGTAAATGCTTTAGTGAGCATGGCAACATGGACTCACACCAAGGAAAAACTGTTTGAATGTCCTGATTGTGAGAAATGTTTCTGTGATAATTCCAGCCTTGTGAGACACCAGAGAACTCACACAGGAGAGAAACCTTTTGAATGTCCTGACTGTGGGAATAGTTTCAGTCGAAATTCTCACCTCGTTTCACACCAGAGAACTCACACAGGAGAGAAACCCTTTGAATGTCCTGTTTGTGGGAAAAGTTTCAGTCACAATTCTAGCCTGGTGATACACCAGAGGACTCACACAGGAGAGAAACCCTTTGAATGTCCTGATTGCGGGAAAAGTTTCAGTCAATATTCCAACCTCATTGGTCACCAGAGGACTCACACAGGAGAGAAACCCTTTGAGTGTCCTGATTGTGGGAAAGGTTTCAGTCACAATTTCAGCCTGGTGAAACACCAGAGGACTCACACAGGAGAGAAACCCTTTGAATGCTCCTATTGTCATAAAAGTTTCAGTCACAATTCTAGCCTGGTGATACACCAGAGGACTCACACAGGAGAGAAACCCTTTGAATGTCCTGATTGCGGGAAAAGTTTCAGTTGGAATTCCAGTCTGGTGAGACACCAGAGAACTCACACAGGAGAACACCCCTTTGAATGTCCTGATTTTGCTAAAAGTTTCAGCTATAATTCCAACCTGGTGACACACCAGAGAACTCACGCAGGAGAGAAACCCTTTGAATGTCCTGATTGTGGGAAAAGTTTTAGTCAGAATTTCTGGCTGGTGATACACCAGAGAACTCACACAGGAGAGAAACCCTTTGAGTGTCCTGATTGCGGGAAAAGTTTCAGTCGGAATTCCAACCTAGTGAGACACCGGAGAACTCACACAGGAGAAAAACCATATGAGTGTCCAGATTGTGGGAAAGATTTCAGTATTAGGACTAGCCTTTTAAATCATATGCTTATACACACAGGGGAGAAACCATTTGAGTGCCCCGAGTGTGGATGGTGCTTCAGGAAACATTCCAGCCTTATTGCACACACGAAAATCCATATGAGGCCCCAAGTGATAAGTGTAGAGAAGGCTTGAATCTCATTTTTAATGTTCCATTGTAACTCAAGTTGAGAAATTGACTGTTTAATTTGACTACAAAGGATTTGCCTATTTTTTTTGTAGGCAAATATGTAATGGTATTAGACAGGAAGGAGGAAGGAAAGAATGGCAACATATTATTTTAATAATGCCTATCTAACCATCAGCAGCAGAACTTGCTGGATATGGGTAGTCCTCGGGTTACGAATGTAATGGAGCCTGCCCATTCCATCCGTAATTGAGAATTTGTGGGAGTGAATCTCATACATTGAATGACATCACTCCCTGCTTTCGCCCAGGCATTCGTTGCTTTCCCACTCCCGATCAGTTTGATGAGGCCTCTGACACCGAGAAAGAAGCCCTGAGAAGGTGTGCGCAGTCTCTTGGGACTGCTTTCTAGTCGGCAAAGCGCTTGAGGATTGTGTTCCTGTAGGCTTTGGCAGCCCTTCGCAAAAAGCCTTTGCCTTCAGGAACAGGGTTTCGGAGGGATGTACCCACTCTTCCCAAGTTCCGCTGGTGCCAATAAAGTCTTTTTGCAAAGGGCTGCTGAAGCCTACAGGAATGCAATCTCCCTACAAGCTTCAGCAAGGAAATGGCAAACAGAGGGAAGACCTGAGGGACCAAAGCATTTCCTCTGTTTGCAAACATCCAGGTCTCAATTTGCAGAGAATAGAGGCCCTAAATGCGAGATTACACAAGATCTCATCCTACTGATCTCGCGATATGCTAAGCCTCTGTTCTCTGCAAATGCAGGCAAATAGAGGAGATATTTCCAAGATAAGTGAAGGCAAAGTGCTTGTGAAGACCCGGGTGGGGGATAGGGGTGAATATTGCAGAGCCACTGGTCGTTCATAAGGGTGAAGTGCTGTGGTGGTGCAATATTTATAATTTGGTGATTTGTTCATAAACACTAGGGGGCACTTATCTTCGAACATTGGCTAAGAGAACACACGTAACTCAGGGATTACCTGTATTTATTTTTGCAGAAATTGTGCAATTCTGTAAAAATCTTTTTGGGGTTTTCTTTGCATTTTTATCATGGTAGATGATAGAAATGCCATGTACAGAGTCCCAGCCTTTTTCTTCCTGGGTGTCCGCGAGATTTTCAGCCCCAGAATTCTCTAGCCAGGATCTCTTGTGAATTGGAGCACTCAGAATATAGGTAGAGATTGTGGCTCCTTATCTAAGGAGAAAGAGAGAGGAGATGAGAAGTAGACAGGATTTCAAATTCATCTTTTCCTACCAGTTCCAGGAATTCAGTGCACCAAGCATATCTGTTCAGGTTGTGTCAAGAATGAGGCACACAAGTTGAAGATACCATATGAATAGCAAATATATACGGGGAGTTTGGGGCACTGACAAAACTAGTGTAAAATTTCTGATATAAAGACTGTTCTGCCTTCCACGTGACCTTCATGGAGAAGAGCTGTAGGAATATTGAGTTGAGGAGAAAAGGGATTGTGGTTTTGAGCACAGGACCTCTAGGTTTATTTGCAACTCCTGTGATCTCCTTTGTTTTTTTAGGGGCTTCCTTGTTAGTCTTTGACGGCTGGTGGGTGAGATCAGCACCAAGGGACTGATACTTTTGTGGTCCCCCCCCCTTGGTGGGGAGATGTGAGGGGAAAAATGGTACACTAGATAATGCAGATCAATTATCCTGATTTTTCTGGGATGAGAAGACACCATATAATTAGAGGATTGTTTATTTCACCAACAAGAGCCTTGATAGTACAGTGGTTTAGTGCACCCTGTTATTAACACAGCTGCCTGCAATTTCTGCTGGTTCGAATCTCTCCAAGGCTCAAGGTTGACTCAGCCTTCCATCCTTTCTAAGGTAGGTGAAATGAGGACCCAGTTTGTGGGGGCAATAAGCTGACTTTGTATAAAATATACAAAAGTATGAAGGCTATTGCTTAACGTATTGTAAGCTGCCCTGAGTCTCCGGAGAAAGGCGGCATATAAATCAAATTAAAAAAAAAAAAAAGATTCAAAAAGACAGGTTACAATGTTTTTTAGTAGATCACATTACCCGTGCTCCCTTTGAAGGACAGCCAACAACCAGGACCAGGCCAGATGTGTGGAGAAACCAAGAGGCTCTTGGCCTGAGTCTTAAATCCAAGTGATTTCAAATTTAAAGATGTGCAAAATTTCTAAAATTTAAAATGGTAAAATTATGCTTAATCTATTTATCTTTTTCTCTTTCCTTGGTGTCATATTTTAGAGCACATGTTTACCACGTTATCTTACGGTTAGCAGTTCGAAATGCAATGTTCTCAAAGCCTCTCATAGGGCTATATAACAATATCAAGCAAAATTAAATAAAGCCAATTTAAGAGTCATAGGGGATGGTCTACAGGGCGAGGTCAAAAGTCATAAATTCCCAATCAGAGGAACATTCTTTTTCGTCAGAATCAAAATTTGTAGTTGAGATTGAAAGGGGTAAAATATGTGTTATTTGGAGGATACTGGGTCTTGAAAACTGCAGCCTTGAATTTGGGGCTGGAGTAGCAGGAACAGCTGAATGGATAGATTTTGTGGGGAGGAGGAAGATCTAGTCTGGTGGTCACCAGGCTAAAGCCTGAGATGGTCATTTGTGATCCTGCTTTAGTGTCTGGAGATTCTCAGTCATCCCGGTCATGGTTGTCCCAAACATGTTTTTTCAAGAGGCATTTGGACTTTCTCATTTTTCTTTGAAGACATTTCACTTCTCGTCCCAGAAGTTTCTTAGATCGGAGCTGAAGAAGCTTCTTGGATGAGAAGCGAAACGTCTTCAAAGAAAAATCAGAAAGTCCAGTTACCTCTTAAAAAGCACCTTTAGGTTCTGTTTTAGGCACAAAGACATCTCAGAGACTTTGACCTATCGCGTTGTCTCAGGCCTTGGAAAGGGGAAATCCACTTTCAAAAAATCTTGCCAAGGAAACTGCAGGGAAATGGAAGTGCAGGATAACTTCCCAAAACCTATTTTTGCAACTGAGCGAACCTTGAAGAGAGAACCTTGACCTACTTAGCTTCTCAAGATTAGGGAGGTGTTGTGCCATAAATATTTATGAAGTTCTTGTTTGTATGCACAGCCACTAAATGATTTCCAGCTTCATCCTATGAATAGAATAATGAAACATGGAAAAATAACTGGGAACATCCACCTTCCAAACCACATCTAGATAGGAGAGATTCTTTCTGTCTGCATCCTTGCAGAGCCTAAATCTCACTAGAGGGAAGACTTGCTTTGAGCAGCCGTCCCAATCTCCACAGGAGTTAGATTTATTATTCCCAAACTTTTGGGCAAAAGACTTGGAGGGCTATACTTTGCAGAAAGCTGATGTATAGATTTCTGCACTTTCTTAGGGGTGACTCAGTGGAGATCAAAATCTCTACATCCCCAAACTTTATGACTGATTTGCTGTGTCTACCAAGGATTTAAGACCCAGGAGAATCAGTGGGTCAGAGGCTCAAAGGGAGCCAGCTTCATTCGTACTGCCCAGAGATGCTTCCAAGCACACCCATGCTAAATGCCTTGTGCGTCTGTGCATACACAGAAGTCTCCATTAGGTCAAAGTGAGAAAGTCACATACCCAGCAGGGCTAGAAAAGGGGGCTTAACAAGAGGAGATGACTGTCTGTATATGGTAAGAGAAATGTTTCCAAAAGGCATTTCCAAGGACTGGAAAAAAGATTGGTAATACAGATGTTCATGCAACAATGTACCACTCTTTGTTTGATACCCATTCCTTTTTTTCATTGTAAATTTTAATCTAATAAAATATACAAAATTCTTGCCAAGGAAACTGCAAGGCCAGGCATCAAGACTGATTCTTTGTTTGATACTCTTTTTAATTAGAAATTTTCAATCTACTCTCTCTCTCTATATATAAAAGCGAAAACCACTCATACCATAATCACGAAATCTCCAGAACCGTAAAGCCTACAAACTTTAAATTTGCCCCGTTTGTTCCTCTTGGCTTCTAGGTGCTCACTAAGAAAGGAGTTTTCGAAATGACCATCAGGGCATTAGTATTTCCTATATTATTATTATTAAAACTCTGATGCTAAGGAGTTCTACTCCGCCTCCCCACTTGAAAAGAAATCTGTTCCAAATGCAAAACACAAGCAGAGGAGAGGAATTTCAGTTTCAGTTTTACTTCCACAGCAGCAAGCAGGGGATACAATAGGGGAGGCTTCTGTGGAGCAAGCCTGAGTGAGAGAAAGGGAGAGGATAGGGGAGGCTTCTGTGGGGCAAGCCTGATGGAGAGAAGGGGAGAGGAGAGGCCGATCATAACTACTCATTAATTTTCAAGTAGAAAATTAATTAATTCCTCTTTCCTCTTAATTTTCCTCAATGGAGCTATCCCCACATGGAAGGAAGTAAGCAGGCCTACAAAGCAGGAAAAGGAGGTAACCACTTCCAAAAACCTTTGCCAAGGAAACTGCAAGGCCAGGCATGAAGACTGATCCAAAGGCACTAAATACGGAGCTAAATAGCGTCACGTTTCACTTTTTCACTTGGCTCAGTTGCAAAGGTCGGCTGCTAGGAGTCGAAAACATCTTCCAAAAGCCTTGGTGGAGATTGGACAGGCGTGTTTTTTCCACCTCCCGTCGCTAGATGGTGGTCAGGCAACGTCTGTGCCTAGAAAGCCATCAATTCAGTGGTGCCATCCGTGATTGCGCTTAAACAAAGGAGTTTAAAACCATGGAGTACTGCATTGCTAGAAAGGATGGGAGGAGAGGAGAGGAGAAGCGCAGAGGAACTTCCTCTTCCGGATTACTGATGGGAGGAAGTTGGTGTGCAGAGCGGCTTTTGTGCTGTTTCCATGGTGGAAGCAGCAGCTGGCAGGTGAGTGGAGGGCTGCAGGTGGGAGGAGAGTCCGGGAGCAACTTGGGCTGGAAGCGGAGAAGCAACTGGGCTGAAGCCTCTCAGCTGCGGCTGCTGCAGGTTCCTTCCCTCCCCAAATGGAAGCCCACTGGTGCTGCAGGCTGGGAAACTGGGGCTGCAATTTCTGCTGGTGGGAAGCTTGAAAAAGCCTCCTTCCAATGCAGGTTGAGCCTTTGGGGCTGGTTTCCCTCCAGAGGTTGTGGCTGCTCCCATCACTGGAGGGTTTTGAGGGGCGATTGGGCAGCCATTTGTTCTGGATGGAACAGATATAAAATGTATTGGCCACCAACCTTACCATGACATAACTGTGGGTGGTTTAGAGAGAGAAAATAATGCGTACACATTAAAATCTAAATAAATTGTAGGAAGAAAAATCCGGTCCGGTTCCAAGCCAGGAGAAAGGAGCTGGAAATAAAATGCTTAGTGACACAGATGCCAGTCCCAATTGCAGTCAGTAAGTGAGGACTACTTCAATTGGGATGTCACCAAAGGGGTTGTGGAAAGTATTTTCTGCCTTTACTTGGAGTTCATGGCTTCCATGGGCATAACTGGTGCTTCAAATCTTGCAGAGGCTTTAGGCCTCATTTGGTCATTTAAAGCCCCCACATCTGTCAAGTTAGTGTCATGCAGATTGTCAGGTGTGGCTCAATAAAATAAAAGAGAGTTCAAGTGTGTTTGTTTCTTCAGCTGAATATAGATGGGTCCCTCCTAAGAAGGAAGGAACCCTGAGCATAATGAAAGGCAGATATTTATACATCTATTTCCTTTCACTTCATTACATAAGACGCAGCTGGCACATGGAAGATAAGGTACAGAAATATAGAAATTATAAAAATAGTCAAGCATGCCTTCTGTGATTTTGGTCACGTGCCTAACAGACAGGCTAGTAGTTTTCTGTGAACGTTTCCATGGCCTCAGGAGACTGTTGAGGCCTGA